AAACGGAGTTCTAGCAAAATAGTTATGATTTTTGTCGACTAGTACATTGGAATTGGCCGAAAATAGGGCTCAAAGTGGGCAAAATCGCTGATGCGTAAACATCGTCGAGACCGATAACTTCGCGAGAGCATAATTCTGTAAGTTTTCCATCAAATTTCATACTTTTGGTGTCATTATGATCGGGAAAAGATTGTCTATCTTTTCATAAGAAAGCTGTATAGCACTTGTGGCTTAGCGCTTCTTTTTGATTATAATAATAATAATAATTTTCATAAGAAAAAATAATTTTTTTTTTAAATTTGGGGGACCCTGAGAACAAGTCTCTGAGAGGGCCTGTGGACCCTGAAAGGGTTAATATCCTGATGAATACTGTGTATAGTATATTAAAATATTAATGATTTTTCCATCCCTCCTTTCACAGGGCTGCCTTTTTTCTGGTAAAAAGCTTTTTATCTGAGGCATTGCAGCTGTCCTCCGCATAGGTTTTAACCTGCTTACCCTCACCCCTTCCATACTGAATGATTACCCTCACCCCTCCATACTCATTGATTACCCTCACCCCTTCCATACTGAATGATTACCCTCACCCCTCCATACTCATTGATTACCCTCACCCCTTCCATACTGAATGATTACCCTCACCCTCCCACATACCTCATTGATTACCCTCACCCCTTCCATACTGAATGATTACCCTCACCCCTCCATACTCATTGATTACCCTCACCCCTTCCATACTGAATTGATTACCCTCACCCTCCCATAACTCCATTGATTACCCTCACCCCTTCCATACTGAATGATTACCCTCACACCCCTCCCATACTCATTGATTACCCTCACCCCTTCCATACTGAATGATTACCCTCATCCCTCCCATACTCATTGATTACCCTCACCCCTTCCATACTGAATGATTACCCTCACCCCTTCCATACTCATTGATTACCCTCACCCCTTCCATACTCAATGATTACCCTCATCCCTCCCATACTCATTGATTACAAACCCTCACCCCTTCCATACTCAATGATTACCCTCATCCCTCCCATACTCATTGATTACCCTCACCCCTTCCATACTCAATGATTACCCTCACCCCTCCCATACTATTGATTACCCTCACCCCTTCCATACTCATTGATTACCCTCAACCACCCTTCCATACTCATTGATTACCCTCACCCCTCCCATACTCAATGATTACCCTCACCCTCCCATACTCATTGATTACCCCTTCACCCCTTCCATACTCATGATTACCCTCACCCCTCCCATACTCATTGATTACCCTCACCCCTTCCATACTCATTGATTACCCTCACCCCTTCCATACTCATTGATTACCCTCACCCCTTCCATACTAATTGATTACCCTCACCCCTCCCATACTCATTGATTACCCTCACCCCTCCCATACTCATTGATTACCCTCACCCCTCCCATACTCAATGATTACCCTCACCCCTCCATACTCAATGATTACCCTCACCCCTCCCATACTCATTGATTACCCTCACCCCTCCATACTCAATGATTACCCTCACCCCTTCCATACTCATTGATTACCCTCACCCCTTCCATACTCATTGATTACCCTCACCCCTTCCATACTAATTGATTACCCTCACCCCTCCCATACTCATTGATTACCCTCACCCCTTCCATACTCAATGATTACCCTCACCCCTCCCATACTCATGATTACCCTCACCCCTCCCATACTCATTGATTACCCTCACCCCTTCCATACTCAATGATTACCCTCACCCCTCCCATACTCATTGATTACCCTCACCCCTCACATACTCAATGATTACCCTCACCCCTCCCATACTCATGATTACCCTCACCCCTCCCATACTCAATGATTACCCTCACCCCTCCCATACTCAATGATTACCCTCACCCCTTCCATACTCATTGATTACCCTCACCCCTCCCATACTCATTGATTACCCTCACCCCTTCCATACTCATGATTACCCTCACCCCTTCCATACTCAATGATTACCCTCACCCCTTCCATACTCAATGATTACCCTCACCCCTCCCATACTCAATGATTACCCTCACCCCTCCCATACTCAATGATTACCCTCACCCCTCCCATACTCAATGATTCTACCCTCACCCCTCCCATACTCATTGATTACCCTCACCCCTTCCATACTCAATGATTACCCTCACCCCTCCCATACTCATTGATTACCCTCACCCCTCCCATACTCATTGATTACCCTCACCCCTCCCATACTCATTGATTACCCTCACCCCTTCCATACTCAATGATTACCCTCACCCCTCCCATACTCAATGATTACCCTCACCCCTTCCATACTCAATGATTACCCTCACCCCTCCCATACTCAATGATTACCCTCACCCCTTCCATACTCAATGATTACCCTCACCCCTCCCATACTCAATGATTACCCTCACCCCTTCCATACTCAATGATTACCCTCACCCCTCCCATACTCAATGATTACCCTCACCCCTCCATACTCAATGATTACCCTCACCCCTCCCATACTCAATGATTACCCTCACCCCTCCCATACTCAATTTATTACCCTCACCCCTTCCCATACTCAATGATTACCCTCACCCCTCCCATACTCAATGATTACCCTCACCCCTCCCATACTCATTGATTACCCTCACCCCTTCCATACTCAATGATTACCCTCACCCCTCCCATACTCAATGATTACCCTCACCCCTCCCATACTCATTGATTACCCTCACCCCTTCCATACTCATTGATTACCCTCACCCCTCCCATACTCATTGATTACCCTCACCCCTTCCATACTCAATGATTACCCTCACCCCTTCCATACTCATTGATTACCCTCACCCCTCCCATACTCATGATTACCCTCACCCCTTCCATACTCAATGATTACCCTCACCCCTTCCATACTCAATGATTACCCTCACCCCCTTCCATACTCAATGATTACCCTCACCCCTCCATACTCAATGATTACCCTCACCCCTTCCATACTCATTGATTACCCTCACCCCTTCCATACTCATTGATTACCCTCACCCCTTCCATACTCAATTGATTACCCTCACTCCTTCCATACTCATGATTACCCTCACCCCTTCCATACTCATTGATTACCCTCACCCCTCCCATACTCAATGATTACCCTCACCCCTTCCATACTCAATGATTACCCTCACCCCTTCCATACTCATTGATTACCCTCACCCCTTCCATACTCAATGATTACCCTCACCCCTTCCATACTCATTGATTACCCTCACCCCCCTTCCCATACTCAATGATTACCCTCACCCCTTCCATACTCATTGATTACCACCCTCACCCCTTCCATACTCAATGATTACCCTCACCCCTTCCATACTCATTGATTACCCTCACCCCTTCCATACTCATTGATTACCCTCACCCCTTCCATACTCAATGATTACCCTCACCCCCCCATACTCATTGATTACCCTCACCCCTTCCATACTCATTGATTACCCTCACCCCTTCCATACTCAATGATTACCCTCACCCCTTCCATACTCATTGATTACCCTCACCCCTTCCATACTCAATGATTACCCTCACCCCTTCCATACTCATTGATTACCCTCACCCCTTCCATACTCATTGATTACCCTCACCCCTTCCATACTCAATGATTACCCTCACCCCTCCCATACTCATTGATTACCCTCACCCTTCCATACTCAATGATTACCCTCACCCCTCCCATACTCATTGATTACCCTCACCCCTTCCATACTCAATGATTACCCTCACCCCTTCCATACTCATTGATTACCCTCACCCTTCCATACTCAATGATTACCCCCCTCACACCCTCCCATACTCATTTATTACCCTCACCCCTCCCATACTCAATGATTACCCTCACCCCTTCCATACTCATTGATTACCCTCACCCCTTCCATACTCATTGATTACCCTCACCCCTTCCATACTCATTGATTACCCTCACCCCTTCCATACTCATTGATTACCCTCACCCCTTCCATACTCATTTATTACCCTCACCCCTCCCATACTCATTGATTACCCTCACCCCTTCCATACTCAATGATTACCCTCACCCCTTCCATACTCATTGATTACCCTCACCCCTTCCATACTCATTGATTACCCTCACTCCTCCCATACTCATTGATTACCCTCACCCCTTCCATACTCATTGATTACCCTCACCCCTTCCATACTCATTGATTACCCTCACCCCTTCCATACTCATTGATTACCCTCACCTCCTTCCATACTCATTGATTACCCTCACCCCTTCCATACTCATTGATTACCCTCACCCCTCCATACTCATGATTACCCTCATCCCTTCCATACTCATGATTACCCTCACCCCTTCCATACTCATTGATTACCCTCACCCCTTCCCATACTCATGATTACCCTCACCCCTCCATACTCAATGATTACCCTCATCCCTCCATACTCAATGATTACCCTCACCCTTCCATACTCATTGATTACCCTCACCCCTCCCATACTCATTGATTACCCTCACCCCTCCCATACTCATTGATTACCCTCACCCCTTCCATACTCAATGATTACCCTCATCCCTTCCATACTCATTGATTACCCTCACCCCTTCCATACTCATTGATTACCCTCACCCCTTCCATACTCATTGATTACCCTCACTCCTCCCATACTCATTGATTTAGTCATATTTATATACATTTAATGTCCTTATATACTTACATGTAATGTTTATTTACTCTTGTAATCTTAAGCTTGCCGGAAATGCTCTACATAACCATGGATTATCAAATGTCACTTATTTCTGTATAAACAATTTATTATGTTGAAATAAACTTGGAATTTGATGTTGTATGACCCCTATGGGTTTAGTGTTTTGTAATGAATTTAATAATTTAATAATCTATATAATCTGTTTTACTTCCACTGTATGAGAATCTCTGCAGCTCTTCATAACAGTTGTGTTGTACCTTGGCAGCTACTGGCTACATGTTATGAAGTAGACAGTGTCAACGCTATGGGTCTTATAGAGAGAAGGAATGCCAAATGGGGTAACATGGACTATCTAGAGCTGGCACTGATGGCTAACGACATGCACTTCATCTCCACGCCAGCAGTCCAGGCTAACGTGGAGATCAACTGGCGGCGGGGCATGACCAGGGCACATATCTTGGCTGTTATCATTGCCAATTTTTTCCCTCTTCTTATCTTCTGGCCACGTTTTTTCCGGTAAAGTAACACTTGTTTCTGTCTTCCTGTTAAAATGAATATTGAGTGTTCGTGAGTGTTTGAAGTACTAGTGTTAATGTCTACTTCCTCATTCCAGGCTTCAGGGGTAGAAGAACCCTTGAAATTGGTTAGTGGTAAAAGTGTTCTTGAAATTTGTCACAGGAAAACAATGTTCTTGAAATTGGTCAAGGGAAAGCATTGTTCTTTAGGCCAAGAGTTGCTGCCAAATTTATTCATACACTTGATAATGCTAAACAAAAAAAGGAGTCAGAACTGTGAGAAATTATGTACATGAGGTTCACAGGTACTGACTTTAATTTTTTACATGTACATAATTTGGGGCAGATACAACTAAATTATTTTACACTTTTATTTTATTTTTTATTATCACACTGGCTGATTCCCACCAAGGCAGGGTGGCCCAAAAAAGAAAAACTTTCACCATCATTCACTCCATCACTGTCTTGCCAAAAGGATGCTTTACACTACAGTTTTTAAACTGCAACATTAACACCCCTCCTTCAGAGTGCAGGCACTGTACTTCCCATCTCCAGGACTCAAGTCCGGCCTGCCGGTTTCCCTGAACCCCTTCATAAATGTTACTTTGCTCACACTCCAACAGCACATCAAGTATTAAAAACCATTTGTCTCCATTCACTCCTATCAAACACACTCACGCATGCCTGCTGGAAGTCCAAGCCCCTCGCACACAAAACCTCCTTTACCCCCTCCCTCCAACCTTTCCTAGGCCGACTCCTACCCCGCCTTCTTTCCACTACAGACTGACACACTCTTGAAGTCATTCTGTTTCGCTCCATTCTCTCTACATGTCCGAACCACCTCAACAACCCTTCCTCAGCCCTCTGGACAACAGTTTTGGTAATCCTGCACCTCCTCCTAACATCCAAACTACGAATTTTCTGCATTATATTCACACCACACATTGCCCTCAGACATGACATCTCCACTGCCTCCAGCCTTCTCCTCGCTGCAACATTCATCACCCATGCTTCACACCCATATAAGAGCGTTGGTAAAACTATACTCTCATACATTCCCCTCTTTGCCTCCAAGGACAAAGTTCTTTGTCTCCACAGACTCCTAAGTGCACCACTCACCCTTTTCCCCTCATCAATTCTATGATTCACCTCATCTTTCATAGACCCATCCGCTGACACGTCCACTCCCAAGTATCTGAATACATTCACCTCCTCCATACTCTCTCCCTCCAATCGGATATCCAATCTTTCATCACCTAATCTTTTTGTTATCCTCATAACCTTACTCTTTCCTGTATTCACTTTTAATTTTCTTATTTTGCATACCCTACCAAATTCATCCACCAATCTCTGCAACTTCTCTTCGGAATCTCCCAAGAGCACAGTGTCATCAGCAAAGAGCAACTCTGACAACTCCCACTTTATGTGTGATTCTTTATCTTTTAACTCCACGCCTCTTGCCAAGACCTTCGCATTTACTTCTCTTACAACCCTATCTATAAATATATTAAACAACCATGGTGACATCACACATCCTTGTCTAAGGCCTACTTTTACTAGGAAATAATTTCCCTCTTTCCTACATACTCTAACTTGAGCCTCACTATCCTCGTAAAACCTCTTCACTGCTTTCAGTAACCTACCTCCTACACCATACACCTGCAACATCTGCCACATTGCCCCCCTATCCACCCTGTCATACGCCTTTTCCAAATCCATAAATGCCACAAAGACCTCTTTAGCCTTATCTAAATACTGTTCACTTATATGTTTCACTTTTACACTCACTGATGCTAATTGTACCTCGGAGATAGACAGGACTTTATGCATGATGGATCACAACACAATACTTCCACTGATGTCCATCTACTCAGATGGGTATCAGTGGAAGTATTGTGTTGTGATCCATCATGCCCAGAGTTATAAATACCAAATTCAAAACATTAACTTACCACAATTATTGTTAATAAATCACATTCTATTGCTTAATTGAAAGCTAGATATATGCATTGGCCTAGGCAAATCTACTGTACATTTAGGAGTCATACATTACATATGGTGAGCTGCACAGCCCATTATTTTCCACAATTCAGCTATATTGTTGCTGTTTCTGAGGAAATTTGACCATTTACAACAACCCACGATGTTTAACCCTTTAAGGGTTTCGGACGTACTAGTACGGCTTACGCACCAGAGTTTTTGACGTACTAGTATGCTACTAGTGAGAGAAAGCTGGTAGGCCTACATATGAAAGAATGGGTCTATGTGGTCAGTGTGCACTGTATAAAAAAAATCCTGCAGCACACAGTGTGTAATGAGAAAAGAAAACTTCGACCGTGTTTTTGGATTAAAATAGCGACTTTGCACTGTATTTTCACATCTTTGATTTTTACCAAAGTTCAAAAGTAAACAAATCATGCCAAGCGTCCAATACACGTCAACTGGTGAGTCTAATATTCTTTCACAATTGCGCTGATATTATTTATACCATTTCTACACTAATGCAGTAGTCTGCATAACATTAAATCATGTAGTTTTTGTAAGAATAAAAATTCAAAGTGTAAAGCCAAAGAAATATAAGAGGGGCCTAGGGATGTGACTAACAAACAGAGAACTTGTTATTTTAGTGCCAGGAATGTCTTTCTTGTTTATTCTGGACCCTATTCGGAAATTGGCATCTTTTGAAATTTGTGTAAAATTGCTAAATTCTGACCACTTTATTGGATAGTTGAAATCAGTAAATGGGTGGTTTCTTGTACTTATTTGATAGAAAAAGTGGAGTTCTAGCGAAATAGTTATGATTTTTGTCGACTAGTACAATGGAATTGGCTGAAAATAGGGCTCAAAGTGGGCAAAATCGCCAATGCCTAAACATCGTCGAGACCGCTAACTTCGCAAGAGCATAATTCCGTAAGTTTTCCATCAAATTTCATACTTTTGGTGTCATTATGATCGGGAAAAGATTCTCTATCTTTTCACAAGAAATAATAATTTTTTTTTTTAAATTTGGCGACCCTGAGAACACGTCTCGGAGAGGGCCTGGGGACCCTGAAAAAGGGTTAATTATTTATTGGTCATCCAATTCAGCCATTACACCCATTTTTGGCTTCGATGACATGCATTTTACCACCACTATTATGTACAACCCATGTTACTCCACCATTTCTATTGCATCTCTCCTATACACACTACCCTGCGGTGCTGGCAACCCCCCCCCCCACCCTCGCTCGAAATTTCTCAACCCAACACCACATATTAATTAACGTTTATTATATTATTTAATTTTTTTATACTCTAAATTCAGGAAAGTTATAAAAAAAAATCCACAAGAACAATGCAAATGTATGTTCTGTAATTTTTTGCAAATAAATCTCAGCATTATGCCAGATACTAGTTATGTCAATATGACAGAGCAGCAGCAAGTAATGTGTGGATTCCTTTTTTTTTATTTTACTTTCTTACATGAGTGTGAGCAAGGTAACATTAATTATATACTTCTTCTTTCAACAAATCAGTCATTTCCCACCGAGGCCGGGTGACCCAAAAAATAAAACAAAGGTGTCTCTTTTTAACTTTAGTTGACTTTTACAACATGCATGGCTTACGGAGGAAGAATTCTGTTCCACTTCCCCATGGAGATAAGAGAAAATAAGAACAACTAGTGAGAAAATAGAAAAAAACCCCAGAGGGGTGTGTATATATATGCTTGTACATGCATGTGTAGTGTGACCTAAGTGTAAGTAGAAGTAACAAGACGTACCTAAAATCTTGCATGTTTGAGACAGGGAAAAAAAAGACATTATATACTATCTTCTTTCAACACACCAGCCGTATCCCACCGAGGCGGGGTGGCCCAAAAGGAAAAACGAAAGTTTCTCCTTTTACATTTAGTAATATATACAGGAGAAGAGGTTACTAGCCCCTTGCTCCCGGCATTTTAGTTGCCTCCTACAACATGCATGGCTTACAGAGGAAGAATTCTGTTCCACTTCCCCATGGAGGTAAGAGAAAATAAGAACAAGAACTAGTGAGAAAATAGAAAAAAACAAACAGACGGGTGTGTATATATATATGCTTGTACATGCATGTGTAGTGTGACCTAAGTGTAAGTAGAAGTAACAAGACATACCTAAAATCTTGCATGTTTGAAACAGGAAAAAAAAAGACATTATATACTTATTCAGTCTTATTTGTGTATATACATTTAATGTCCTTAATTACATACATCCAGGAGCAAGGTGCTAGTAACCTCTTCTCCTGTATAAATTACTAAATTAAAAAAGAGACACTTTTGTTTTTCTTTTTGGGGCACACTGCCTCGGTGGGATACGGCTTGTTTGTTGAAAGAAGAAATACATACATGTAATGTTTATTGCCCTTTTAAGCTAAAGCTTGCCTGAAATGCTCTGCATAACTGTGAGCTTTCAACATGCATTCAAGTGTCATTCATTTCTCTATAAACAATGTATCATTTTGAAATAAACTTGAATTTGAACTTATATCCAGACTTAAGTAATGATGGTGGGAAGTACAGTGACTTCACTCTGGTCTTATCCAAGGAGGTTCCTTCATCTAAGGTATTTGCCCTATGTGAAGGTTCCTTAACACTTTGACTGTTTTGGTCATATATATACGTCTTACAAGCCAGTGTTTCGGACGTATTAATACGCATAAATCCTAGCGGCTTCAAATCAAGCAGAAGAAAGCTGGTAGGCCGACATGTGAGAGAATGGGTCTGTATGGTCAGTGTGCACCATATAAAAAAATCCTGCAGCACACAGTGCGTAATGATAAAAAAACTCTGACCGTTTTTTTGGATTATGATGCCGACTTTGAGTTGCATTTTCGTATAGTATTTATCATTGTATTCTCGTTTTCATGGTCTCATGTGATAAAATGGAAAACATATTACAGAAATAGAGATGATTTTGATTAGTTTCACGATGAAAACAACCTTGAAATTGAGCTCAAAGTAGCGGAAATGTTCGATTTTTACCAATG